CACTGGCAAACATTTTACTGTAACAATTAATTAACTTTAAAAACCCCTTACCTTGCGGAAGTTTAGCCTTTTATCTCCTCTTCAAGAATGAAAATCAAAACCCGATGTTACTGGTTTAATTACTCTCGAATAAATTTCTTCCATATACTAGCAAAATAAAGACGATCTACCTAATTGCATTTTTTTTTAGTTTCTAAGTTTTTTGTGGTAAAATATTCGTTTGGTTCATAAGAAAATACAAAAAAATATGCAACTCGGCCACGTATCAATGCTAGGTTTGATCTTTCTTTAAACCTTCATTTTTATACGTAATAATTTCTTGGCAGAGTCCTTTCTTTAGATCCAATTATTATCAATAAAATGTGACACAAACCTGTTTGCTGTCGTAGATTCTCACAGCTTGGTTCCTTTAGGAATATTATGTTTACGTTAACTCAAATTTTTATATAAATTCCTAAAAATAATCGAACAAGTACAGCTATTGATGGGGACGAGGTTTTCTTCAGATTACGATTGATATTATCCTTCCTTAAATATGGAAAACAAATTGCTTCGTGACTGTACAGCTGAACTTTCTGCACCACCCTGGTAAGCTCAGATTTTTGTTGTTGTCAGTGTGAACTTGTTTATGCACCGGAATAAAAAGCCACTTCCTCACGGTACTGAATATTAATTTTCCAGATTTATTAATTGAGTTGTGCTTCGAGTAATCGCACAAATTAATTGTCTTTAAATTTCACGAAGTAACTGAACGTATTTTCTCTTGAAATCGAATTGCGATTCACGCGTTGTACGTGCTTGCTCTCAAAATTAAGCTAAAAATACCGGCCCTCCTGTTGCGATGGCCACTTGTATTTCGCCCGCCAGAAAAATCGAAACGGTACATCCGTCATGCCAGCGAGTTTTCTGTTTTTTATACATAGACACGCGAAATCCCCCCTTCCTCTCCATAGCAGCGATTTTTAAAACTGGTAATACGGTCGAGCTAGCGTTTATCTACTAAAGACAATCTACGTTTTACTCGAAACACGTAAATTGATCACCCTTATCTCACGAGATACTTTCATTCACGTTAATTATGAAGCGGTATATGTGTAAATTTCCCTATGTTGAACGAAATACAAATGCTAAAAAATATTTTTTTAAACTGCAAAGCGGGCATCTGTTACGGGTTCTCTTCTTAATTTAAAATTTTCAAATTAAGAATACAAATCGATGTGTTTCGGAGTTTTTTCCGTATAGTACATTATAACGTTAAAAATGAATTTGTTCCATACACATGGAGCGCTGTACATGTAGAACGCATGAATTATTATACACCAAGATACATTATATAATATATACCAAGGTAGAGAAATCTAGTATTATTGCCTGAGCAACAAGATTACATCCCGAGGCGCTCGAGCGGCCCTAGCCCCATCTACCTGCGAATCATTTTTAGGCAACAAGAAACCCGCTCTGAAAAGGACGCCATGCGAATAGCAACCACTTGATTCACCAGAAGACCGACACAAAAACCTGCCGTAGAAGGCAGGATCAAGTTCAATACGATACGATCTAATATACAGGGTCATTCTTGACGAGTCAGAAAGATATGGAGAACCTTTTAAAATGAAACTAAACTGATAAGTCCTTTAAGGGTTTTGGCACATGTGAATTGAACTAGAATATTTTCAAGATGGCGCCACTTCCGCAAATACCGGAAGTAGCCATCAACTTTGATATTTTAAATAGGGACCCCCTATCTTTTTTACATTTTCGGATTCTACGTCCACAAGAATTCAATTTATTTTCGTTAAAGTGGTACGCTGGTACCTAATAAATGCTCATAAACAAAATATAAATCCTCTAAATTAATATGCAATTAAGTATTTAAAAGTGATAATATCTTCCCTATGAAATATGTATAAATTCTCCACAAATTATGGATATCAAAACCCCTGAAGATACGTGACCCGTTCTACCGTTAGGTATAAGAAAGAAAAGAAATAATGTATGAAATTTTAAATTAATCTGTCGCTGCTGATGGGCTTTCGAAATTAATTATGCGTAAAGATTTTTGAAAAAATCCCCATTAACACTACTTGGATGTGCTGCGCGTCGTTGATGTTAGAGTGAAATGCCCGTGCCGGGTACATCTATGACATTTTAACAACACTTTAAGGAACCGTGGTTTTGTGTTATTATGCTCGCCAGGAGAGAATTCCGATCAAAGAACACCTGATGCCGGTATACATAACAATGGTATGGTTAAATATGAAGAACATACGATTGTAAACCGGTATCAGGTGTTCTGTGACTTGCATTCTCTCCTTGCGAGCGTTATATGTTCTGAAGGGCTGTAGATGAAGGTAGACTTTGATTTTTCTGTTATATCGAGCAGAATTTCAGCTAGCCGACGGCAATAATTTTTTCGAGAAAGTAACATATTTTAAATCAAAATTTGTAGTACGAAAAGTCTTGATTTTGTAACTACCCGTTGCACGCTAGATTCACCTAAGTACATACATAATTCATTCATATTTTCATATTCGTCAACTTCATTTGCGGTCATCGATTACCAGCCATAACTGTAGTTTTTGCGGTTACAGAATTTGTATTGCTCGATTATTCACTTTATTCAGAATAAAATAGACTTTTCCTTTCTGCGCGTTGTACATACCCTTAATAACTAAAAATTATATATAATAAATTTTAAAAATAATGCTTTCTGTTGTATGTTCTCCTTCATTAACGGCAAGAATTCTAATTATTATTCTCTTTTGTTCTTAAAATGCCTTAATTGCACCTATTAATTACAACCCGCTTTCCAAGTACGTGATCAAATGGTATGATTTAATTTTTGAGCTTATAGGGAAATCCCTGTTTTCAATGATTTCTTTGTTACCTACGCACCGGCTTATTCTCTTCATAAATCACCGCTTTATTAAAAAATATATTCATTAATAATGTCTATTCTTCCGTAAATTTCCGTAATTATTCATTACTAAGGTACTCGACTTCGTTAGCTTGGAAGTTGAAGACAATGTAAGAATTTCGCACAGATTACCATACATTGCGTGGACGTGTCGCCTTTATGAAAAACGGTATTAGAAATCACCTAATAACTTACCTAAAATGTTTAATAAGCATGCATATAGAATGTATGAATTCGTTTCCAAACTGTGTGGAATTACCCAAACAACAAATTTGACGTTTGACACGTTTTGTTCTCAGAGAGCTCACGAGTAAATAGAGTCACAATTCTCAAGAGTCAAAAGTCTAGTCTTCTAAATAGTGAAAGGTGGCATTGCGATTACTAACGCAAAAGTATCAAAGTCCTCGTGTGAGATCGAACGGACTTCGGCGCATTCTTGTGTGGCAGTTTATTACTCTACCATCTTGTCGCAAAAGTGCGCCATTTCAGTGGATTTCGCCAAAATCTCTCCATAAAATGGTACTCAAAGACCGCGATTCGAGCTTCAAGACAAACCGCGTGACAAATTCAGAAATAAATAGCTGCGCTACTGCTGCTTGCCGCCATTGCGGTTGATGTAACTTTTTAGAAATGAAATCTTTGAGAATGACTCCTCCGCAATATTGGATTTTAAATGACAAAAACTTTCAATATTGAAAGAAGAGGAGCAGTTTTACAGCGACTGTACTTTATAATTCAACAATTGCTTAAAATAAAAAATAAAATGTGTCGTCTTATCTTAGCAATATTGTAGTAATTACTGTCTTTCTAGTAAAACCTTTATATAGTCGCTTTAGAGTAATGTATGTAGAATTTATATTTTCAAAAACCACTCTAAAAAATGATTGTATAAGCCCAGGAGTCATTCTCAAACTTCGATATAATTTTAGAATGCAATTTATCAGTGGCGGCCTCTATTAGTTCTTATGAATTGTATGTCGTCCTTAAGGTATCGTAATGCGTAGAAAATACGACGAAAGTCAAGATTCATCGAGTTCTGATGATGAGTGGGAATTAGTGCTATGTAATTGTAAAAGGACTAAGAGCACACTCCGTCCAAGAATTCCCATAATTACAGCGATATTGTGGATCGCTATGCGGACTATGAATGCTCACATTATTAAGTTGGAGTAAATATTCATTTTCCACTACCAATATTGACACGTACTTCTTCGTTTTTTCCCTTTTTCCCTTTCTTTCCTTAATAAAATAATGCGTGTCTTCGAAAAATCAAACTGCACTTGTGTCCTGTGTTTTCCAAAACGGTGATAACATACCTTTATCTTGAAATTGAATTAGTGTACGCAGCGATAACAGGTCTTGTCGCAGACCGGAGATAAACTTTTACAATACCTACGCAAATAATATATAGATGTTCCTTATTTTACTACCACAAAATAACTTTACAATGAAATTGAACAAATTAAACAAAGCAATTATTTAAACGAAACTAAAATTATTAAATAATTCTGATTCCTCTAATTAGTCAATATGATCGGATTTGCGTTTTCAACTAAATATATGCTTTAAAGTAATTGAAACTCACACACAGGATGTCCCCCATCGTTATTCGAAATGCCGAATCCAAACAAACGTTCGCATTACGTAATTTGCACAACAATGTAGGTATATGTGCTACTGCTAAATTACCGCTTTCTACAATCAGCAAACTTAATACAGTTTACACAATGTGTAAAAAGTTACTTTAACGTTGTTATTACCTAGGTACTGCAGCTAAGGCGTTGGTTAACTTAGGAAACATGAAGCATTTTTTATTCGTTATTGCAATGAACGAATCAGAAAAACAGTTACATATCGGATTATCAATAAAGTAACCTTTTCTTTAATGGACCACTCTGTGTTGTTTACATATTTTGAAAGAAAATGAGATTTTAAGGAATGTTTGACATTTAACCAAGAGTAGGTAAATTGAAATTAAAGGAACTATTATAATCAACTCAAGTTTTTATCATAATCGATGTGTAACACATTCAGATGCGTTTAATCCCAACATGTTATACTAAATTTGAGTATATTGTTTCAGGCACTGGCAATTTGGCAGTTGGTACTGCACCGTAAATAATTTCATTGCCTACGTAACTGTTGCAGCAAGTGTATTTACACTAACAGGGATATCATGCGATAGGTAAGTACCTAGCCACCTTTTTGCTCATTGGTTTTTAAAGTGTAACCATTGATTAACATGGGAATCAATGAACTAACATTATAATTTAATCCATTATGCGCAATTGCCATTAAAAATGTTTGTTAACGTAAATATTGTCAATTAATATTATGAACAGGATATTCGTGACTGTGGCCTGCTTGCAGGTACGCCACTGCTTAATCATTTTCAATATTAGTGCACCGGACTAGTTTCGAATATATCCTAGGTAAATCGTCTCAATATTTACCATTGTAACTAACAGTGTGACTAAAACATTCCGACTAAACTATCCATTGCCATTTACATAGCCCAAAATAAAACTTTATTTAAAAAATGTTTATATACAGGGTGGGTCATTAGTGTGCGGGTGGAAGATTGTGGGTTTATTAACGCACATATTTCAAATTCATTGTCGGGGCATGTTGAATTGTTATTGCTATGTTACCTGTTGGTCAGTTACCTAGCCCAAAAATATTTTCAACAAAATTGCAGTTGTTATACAGGGTGATTTGTATCAAAGTTGCATTTTTTAAATACATCCCCCTGTATATTCGCGTACGTACGTCGCGCTGACACACAATTTGCGTTTGAAGTTTTGACCCCACCATCAGTAAGATCTGGTTGGGAGCTACCACATCCCTTTGTCGGTACTTTCAACGTCCCGTTGCCCCGCAATTCGCGTTTAAAGTATTGACTCCACCAAATTATTAACATTTACTAAAAAAATCAATGTTACTCAAGTCCTTTTTGGAGTTTTTTAAGCTTATTCTTCAATAGGGACTATCATATCATCTAAACGTGTATATAAAAACGGAGAAAATGACACCACATAGAACTCGCTACGATAATTCTCCGAAGGACAATTTTCATTTGAAAAATAAAGTTTTTTCCCGAAAAAACGAATATTTCGCTAACCTCTTAATTTTTTATATTGAAAACATTTGTAGTTACTTGAATTATAAAATAGTATATTTCAATAACATCTCGTTAAAAGAAAATCATTTTTGCGGAAATGAACAATAAAAAACAAAAAAACACCTTTTCCTTGATTTTTTCGGTTATTTGAGGTTATGTATAAGAAAGCGACTGGAAACAAAGTTGTAATTTTTTTCACGATCTACAACTTGAACATTTTTGATCTCAACTTTTGCCCGAAATAGCCGTCATACGATTTTCACCCTCCCCAAAAACTTAGTCCCACTTTCCCGCTTACGTATTTATTTTTATTTTGTATTTGTTATATACCATTTTAACATATCCACTTGGAAAAGTTTCATTAACAATTTTCTTTTTTAAAAAGTCCAATTTGCCTGAACTGTTAATCATAAGAAAACGGCCTATAAACAGGTGATTACGGCAGGGGACAATATATACTTTTTTGCATATTTTTTGTCACAAATTGTTGTCATAATATCAAAACATCTTTTTTTAAGTAAGATTTTTAGTGGTTTTGTAAACATATATCTGAAAATTGGTTGTCAAATTTTGGTTTAAAAAAACGCGCTTTATCTGCACAAGCGATGTGCACAATTTATGGGTACTTGTTATAAATGGGTTACAGTGCTGTCTTACATAACTTAATAAATGTCATTATTAAAGGGTGAAATTCCTGTGTATCTACAACAAAGGACCATTTAAAAAACGCATACCTCATCCACCATTTCACGTACACAAGTTCCAAAATGTTTGTATTTTATTATAAATGTATTAAAAACAGTTTCGTTTCTTTAGAATAATCTGATTTTACTTTGACAGGTATCTGGCTATTGTACATCCCTTGCAGCCAAGGATGTCAAAAACATCATCATTAGTTACAATCGTCCTTATATGGATAGCTAGTATGATTAGTGGATTCCCGTGCCTGCTATATTCGACGACAGTAACATACAAGTAGGTGCTCACTAACTATTTCTTATTTTAAGGTTTCTTTTGAGATGTAATTCGCATAAGCAATGGTTAACGTCCGACACGAGGGGTTATTCTTATACGTAATTACAATCAATACTCAAAAGAAACAAACATTCAAATGACTTTACGACAAAACAAAATTTGGTTCGACTAAGAGCCCTTTCACACGATCCGCTTTTTTAACGGACCGGTAAACGGACGGACCGGTGAAATTACCGGATACTGTAGAAACACACTAAGTTGTATTCAATTCACACGCACCAACGTCCGTTAAAAAATCGGCACACTCCTAATAAGCCATCCGTGTGCCAATGAAAATCGCTCAAGTGTCGTTCTCTTTAAGAGGAAGTCTATGAGAACGGAAAATGGAGACGTGCTAACCACTGCCCTCTCGCGGCTTCAGTTGTGATCCAGATTATCATGGCAGTTAGCGCGTGCTTCCAAATAGAGCGGACGAACGGCGGAGATAGCTCTTCCGAAAGACGTATCTTCTTTCTTCGTATTTGATGCAATCAAATTTAGAAGAAAGAAAATCACTACTGCTCATTCCTTCTAAGTTACTGAAACCACATCCAGATCTGTACTCAAGATTCAATTGGTCCATATCGTCCAATAGTAAATCCTTCATACATATTGTGCTCTACTTTGAAGGCTTGCACGTACCCAAAACCGTAGTTTGCGCAGTGTTTTTTCTTCATTCTCGAACATGATAACCGCAACTAAAGAAATTAGTAAATCCTCGTCAGTGAATATTGCGACTAAAATAAAAGAATGCCAACACATATGTAGACGTTTTTACAGTCGCTGGCTTTGCCTATTGGCATTGCCTTCGGCAAAGCGCTGCATAATGTGGACGTAAAAAATGTATCGTCCTACAGTTTATATGGATGTTTCAGGACGTGCTTAAGGAAGCGCGACAAAATTTTAATTAGCTCTCGGATCCAATTATCCAACTTGTTAAACATAATACAATACGTCAATCGACACTTAATGCTGTCAAGTTATAAAAGACAAATTAGTAACGGCGGACGCTGTATTTCTATATTAAACTAAATTTTATAATCCCAGAATTATATTTTTCTTCCAACAACAAATCACTTTCGTGTCATAAACAGACAATTAGTTTGCTGAACTTCTGTTGGAAAATTTTCAATTAAATCTGCGTGCATCTAAAGTAATTTAGAAAAGTTGATTAATTTTGTTTTGTGAGTAGGTATGGCGTAAAGGAATCTTAATATATTATTCATTTTGTGAATACACTTGTAAACCTAAAATCAATCAGTGATTTGTATAGCTTTATTGAACTGAACCTTTTCAAGATCGGTGTAAAACTGCACGTGGGCTAACCTTTAATAAGTCCTACCAATTTTGTCGTGTGCCGAATTCAAATAGACGTTAATGTATCGGACAGCCCCATATAATTTGCAATTCGTATACCGCAGATTGTATGTCGTAAATGACGTTCCCGCAAAATTAGTAACTTATTAGCGAGTTTGCGGACACGTATTTTCCGTTACGTTAGACGGCCATTTTTTCTTATGATATAACGTAAGGGAAATTTAGTGAAACGCGCTTGCGGATAAATTTATTGTTGCTGGAATTTGATTGGTTTACGTTATTTATAAACATAAGGTATAATAGTGTCTTTATACGGTATAATTCTTAAGTTTTTTTACGTTATAAGATATAACGACAAGTTTTGTAACGTAAAATGTACATCCGCAAACTCGCTATTACCTATAGGGTTTTCGCTATAAAAAGCGTTGCACGTCATTGATTTGATGACGTCAACAATACACGGCATTGCCAAATATTTCTAAGGTATGCTGATATATTAATCTTTTATTTAGGAAACACTTTTTTCTCCAACCACCTGAATAAGACGCTATTTTGTGACAGTGTTCGGTACCTAAAATTGACGTTTTGCGGATTAATCGCTTTCACCATGGCAACTGTACAAAAAGTTGATACTTTTGGTCCTAGTACCAAAAAGAAATTGACCTTGAAAGTTGGCCAATTAAAAAATTACAATCACGGAGATATGTCACATTGACATCGTTTTACATTGCAGGTTATAAGATATTTTTATACATACATATTAAATATTTTTGCATATTCAATGCAAATGCTGTTACCTATACGTATGTACATGTATTGAAAATGATTTACGCTCGCTATTTTTATTTAAACCATGTGTAACGTAATTTACATATTCCGTGAACGTAATTTTAATACGTATACAACCCGCCGTCGAGCGTAACGCCATCTACTTCAGACCCATTGCACTATTATCTGTCATTTTGAATTCAAAATTTGAAAAAGTTAATTACAATTAATTTTAATTAAAAAACTGTATGGTAAGTTTTTTATTTCAATACAAAATATAACAATATTAATTGTGTATACAATAAAATGACTGAAACTGATAGCGACATGGATTGCACTCCGCCAGAGATTATAGAAACGGCAGAATATGCTACCTCAAGATTTATTTGCTCCCTACAAAGTCGCGAGAGGTGAGAAGTAAGAAGTAAGAACGAATAGGTTATAAGTTAACCTAAAAACTAGAGTGGCATGACACGTGAGGACAAGAAAGCAGAAGTTCTTATACTATAGTAGTGAAACTGTGACTGAATCTAATTTCGAATATAATTTGAAGTAAAGGGGGTTGGAGAAAAAATTTTATGTTTTATTCGTACAAAAAATGCGTTTTCGGGACTCGGAAGGTTGCTGGACTCCCCTAACGCGTCGTCCAGCAACTATCTTCCTCGTCCCGAAAACTGACATTTTTTGTACTAATGAAACAAATAACTATTAGGTTATGTTTCTTCCATCCAGATGAACTAGAAAATTCAGAGATAATTTTTTGGGCTCTCTGTGTGAAACCAACCTACTGTGCATAAATAAAACCCATTCCTACTGTGCTGCGACGGTTTCAAGGAAAGTGCAGTCTACTAAATCTGTAGTCGCATTTTGTTTATAACCTATTGCTGCCGTTGTGAGCAGAAAGATGAGGAATGTGGGCACTGCGGCATTATGTAAATGTTTCGGAAGTTATAAACCATTGCATAGGCCATCAGCAAATAAATATCAAGTTAATGCTTGCTTGAAATCTTGACTGATTTTACGTTATTTGGCCAACTCTTGCTGTAGTGGAATTTGAGACTAGTAAGTTCAACCGAGACAAAAACACAAGAAATTTTATTGAACTACATAAAATGATAATCAACATAAACTGATATGATCGTAAAAAGGTGAAAGATACTTTTCAGACTACGTAACATTCCATTTTGTTAACATAAAAGAAAATAAATTTTAATACACAGTTCTCGTGACTTAGGTAATTGCAGTTTTATGTATTGTCAGGTTAATCGTCATCACTCAACTATCATTTTCACCCAGTTTATAATGATTGGGGCCATTTCTGCAATATCCAATTGTTTTTCGCGTTCATACTATTCCTTTATTATCTTTTCGGTGTGATTAATTGAATTTTTCCACATTTCTGAGGTTACAATCGCAAGTGCTTCCTTCTACAAGTTTATTGTGTAACCAATCTTGAAAATCTGCTTTTCTCCACGAGTTGTTTGGATTTTGTGTCAATAAGGTGTTGTGGTAAGAAGCATTGTCCAATACAATAACACTTGGTTCTTCTAAATTTACTAATAATTGTTTTTCAAACCAATGTAAACAGTTTTCACGATTCATTTCTCCGTGGTCATCGCCAGTACCTAATTTTAGATGCAAATACGAGATCTGCGATATCAAAGCTTCGTTTTGTTTAACAGCTTGGGAAATTCTGCTGACCGTAGGAATGTTTAAATGTAATCAAAGATCACACTAGATAGACAGCGCTGTATAAATTTTAGACTCTCATAATTCGTCCCGCCAAATAAGTCGACTGCGTCCTCCAGCGGCAATGTTTTTATGAGAATAGTACAAACTACCTGGCGGGGTAAGAAGACGCGCGAAATGGCAAAGCACAGTTATTTTTAGAATAAAGGGCTATTGTATGGGATATCGGTGTCATTCCTAAGCGCAACCTTGTGTGGGTGTTATAGATGTTTTTATCTGGTTACCTTACTGTAAATTAAAATACCGAATATTCACATCTTGATTTAAATTAAATTTTTTATCGTAACACAACGAAGTGCTCGTGTTTCCGTCTGTCCGTCCGTCCGTCCATCCGTTCCATCGAGATCTCGGCCCCTGGGCCACCTAGAGACTTCGGGTTTTCGCTAATTGATAGCCGTTATGGTCTATATTTGCCCATTTCGATCAGTTTCGTATTTTCCATATTTTGCGCAGACTGCGCAATGCCAACTTTCATATTTATGGAGATATTTCTTTGAAATTTTAACCACAGACGCTTCTAGTTCCGACTCACTTTAGCTGGACACAATTTTATTATGTAGGAGGCTAAGCGGGATATCTCGTTTATCCCAATCATAAAATGCTTAATTACAACAAATCTAAATTAGATAAATGTGTGGTTACAATGTAAATATGCCTGTAAGTAGGTGCATATTATCACAGATTTATAGTATACATATCTGTATCTGTGATATTATATTTGAAGGTATGCTAAAGTATCGTAGATACGTGAAACTAAAAGTTTTCAGAAATTATGCTAAGAAAAAAGACGCTTTTGCAATTATTAATTTAATCCGAAAATCTGGAAAATGTATTGGTTAGCGCTGGTTAAAAAAAAACAAAGGGAATATTGTGTACAACTTTCAAATTATTTCTTTCATTGTAACTAACGTCCTGACTGTAATAGAATCTACCTCGTCTTGAATGACGCCCACTTACAAATGTAATTTTATCCCAATGATAGTGAGGAATGTTCAGTAGGTCATGTTTATGTGTCTCGTGTTTAGACAATAATCACTCTTTGTATTTATGATATTATGATTCGAACTCGTACGAAGACGGCTTCGGATGAATCAGTTACGTTCTTAACTTTGAAAGCCCCCTATAAATATTTTTATGGAACTACTTAAACGCGAAACAACTCTTGCATATACGCTGGCTATCTAGTGTAGTATGATCTATGATGTAATGCTGCCACAACGCGCTGAAGGTAATCACAATTAGTAGAAGTAGTCAGAAGTAGGGATGGGCGATAACTGTTTTCACCTATCGATAAGTATCGGGTACTTATCGATATTTCGATAGTTATCGATATATCGATAGTTATCGATATATCGATAGTTATCGATATATCGATAGTTATCGATATATGAATACTATCGATAGGTATCGATATGTCGATAGTTATCGCTAGGGATGGGCGATAACTGTTTTCACCTATCGATATAAGTATCGGGTACTTACCCATCGATATATTTTACTTATCGATATGCCGATAATTATCGAAATATCGATGGTTATCGATACACCGATAACTATCGAAAGATCGATAACTGTCGCTATATCGATAAGTATCGGTATATCGATAGTTCTCGTTATGGCGATAGTTTTTAATATATAGGTATCGATATAATATTACCGATAATTTTTTTGAAAGCGTGTCTAAAAACTGCATGAGTTTACTTTTATATTTTGGCGAGAGCCCGACAAGACAAGAGGGCTCTTTTAACAAAATATGAAAATAACCGAATGCAGTTCTTGCAACTTTAATGGAGTTACCATATTAACTGTGCAATTATCGCAGTGCTCTTTAGCTTTCTACAATGCAATTACCGCTGTAATTAAGCGGTAATTGCACGCCTCATTTGAGAGAAATATTCGACGTATCGATAGTTATCGACAGGGATAGTTATCTTATCGAGTTTTATTAATAAAATCCATTTTCCGGTTTATTCTCGTGTAAAGTGACTATTAATAGTTACTCGACGTTTCTTTGCTACCTTTATCAAGAGTTTTTTGTTAGATTTCGTAAATGTCAATCAATTGAAACTGTATATCTAAATTTGAAGTGTTCTTAGCTTTTTCTGTTTTTTTGTGACTGGTCCTCTGTAACCATCAATCAGATACCGATACATAGGCCATGATTACACCCTTTGATTGTCTTCTTTATTTTATCTAAAGAGTAGCCATTTTGATGCAACATTTTGTTCAAGTTTTTGAAGTGCTTCTTTTTTTGAGCAATCGTCAGTAAGACGAAAAGATCTATTTTCTAAAGATTTTATTACTGCGTTTATTTGGCATGGATGATGATGTGACGTAGCGCTTCTCTTGAGAAAGGGAGCAAAGTTAAGTTTCCGAAACGTTGAGCAACTAAAAATAGTAAATGTACACGAGAGTAAACCCGAAAATGGATTTTATTAATAAAAATAGTAGCGCTCGTTGAAACCTCAACAGTAACATAATTTTATCGTACCAATAGTTATCGACATATCGATATATCAATAGTTATCGACATATCGATATATCAATAGTTATCGATATATCGATACTTATCGATAAGTATCGATATATCGATTTTTTTAGCTGTACCTATTGTTATTCGATATATCGATAACTATCGATACCTATCGATATATCGAAAAAAATTCCCATGCCTAGTCAGAAGTACATAATTGAAACCATTCTTACCTCTCGAACTGAACCCAATGGTAATAAGGGACCCCCATTATCTCGTTCCTGTTCAAAATATTGAATTAAAGACGCAAGGAGTGGAGTTCCTTCGCTTTACTGTTCAAATATTTCGGCATTGTGGCGAGTACAAATGCAAATAACGGTAGAATGTACACAAACAGCAATTTTGTTCTGAAAAGAACACATTTTTTTGCACTAAGAGCGAAGATGAATAATAACAACAACCACAAGAATCACCGAAAACTTTCACACGCAAAAACCGAACCAAAGTGTCAAATGTCAACAAATAACGTTTGACAATATTGTAAAAAAAATTCCGAATCTGCCAACTTATTCTCCCAAAAAGTAACTAAATAATAATGAATATAAATTCGCCAAATCTTGATTTAAATTGGCATGCCATTTTCTTCTGTTGATGACGTGAAACGCTTTTTATAGCGAAAACCCTATAACAGCCTGATCTGAAACAGTTATAAAATCAAAATATAATAGTTATCTATTATACAAGACGATAAAGGGATATTTTAACCATTGAGTGAAAGATGTTAATTCACGAGATGGTTAGTTTCCCTTTATCGTCGTATACCTACAACACAAAGTTTTATTTTATATCAGAAGCCATATATAAATCATTGTAAAGCTTCTGAAAGTTTTGAATTTAATTTAGAGGCGTCAAAAATAGCAAGCTTAGGTTCTGCCGTCGTGATCGTTTGAAAAGCTTATTCGAGGTCATCCAATTGTCTAGACTCTAGAGAATAGATATAACTAAGTAAAAGATAAAAATTGAAGTTTTGAGTAGATTTTAGATTTGAATTAACAAAACAATTGCGCACTGTTAAGTAAGTACCGTATCGACAGTATCCGCAAGTTTTCATTAATCTATCGATTGCGGCCGAGTACGGTACAATTAACACTTGACGCGACACCACTGTCCTCTTTTCTGCTTGACGAAACTGGTAACTTCATACCCATACACAAAACATAAGCATTATCAATGCTAAAAAATGCAGTCGTGGAATAACAAATATTACACAAAAATGCCTTTATATGTTTCCCATAAGTGTGGCAGTATCCAGGATTTATCTCTAGAAGAAAGTCACCGATTAGTAATGTTAAAAAGGCCATTTAGAAAACTTAAGTATGGGCTTCTGGATGCTTCAAGTAAAGGCAAACATATCGCATATTTGAAACATGTAGCGATTCTTGAGGGATATGAAACGGGATTGGGGATTGACCGGCTAGTCAGAGAAGAGTAGGTCTCCCAGTGAAACAATCCAGAGCGACTGCAAACCCGTATAGGGTGGGTTCCAGACAGGCACAAACTCCTGCCAGAATGAAACTAAAAATAAAATAAAAATTAAGGACCATACCATAGCAAAACTCCTGGCACTAGGGGGTTCTGGTTTCTTGTCTGAATAATCAGCAATAGCTAACATATAATTATTTAATTTCAATAACCAATTATTAATGTAACCAATGCTGTATCTTGGTAATATCAATATTATAACATTAAAACTCAAAACAATAATCAGAACATCTATTATATCTTATTTCGAGAGAACCAATATAGTAACGGAATTAGCTTTCTAATCGAATCGATAAATGCAATAAATCTTTAACGAATAATAAATAGGGACAATATGTCCACAAGCGGAATACTCGCTACAGTAAATACATGCAACGATACAACAAAAGCATAAAGATAAATAAGGAATGTAAACTTAAATTAATGTTGAATTGGGATAATGCTGTACCTACTATCTTTGTTCCTTATTAACTCGATGCTATTCAAAAGAAATTCAAGAAAGTGAAATCCGAGGTGAAATCTTCAAATGCTTCTTCTTAGTAACGTAATGCAGCATTCTTTGTAAGAATTTGCAAGATACTGGTACTTTATAAATACAAAACTGTCTCCACGTCATACTGAATAGTTGACAGTTATTTTTTATGTTGCAGGTATAGAAACAAATCACGAATAGCGTGTATACTAGTGTGGCCAGATGGACAACCGACTGATTCTAGCATGGATTTTGCGTAAGTATCAAAAGATCATCCCAATTCATAGTGATAAATTTGCATTTCGATGAAACATCAACTTATTTTAACTGCTTATAGTATTTTTTATTTATTTGTTTGCTTCCTATGAAAATACATTCATTTCCATGGTCATTAACCGTCAGATTCGTATACACGCGCTTCGGAGCTTCGTTTTGATGCTTTGCAATCTCGGCCTGCTTGGTCTAAAAAGAATTTCAAGCGCATTTTTACTTTTACAGATTTCAGAGGATCATGATAAATGGGAGAAATATAATTTATGTTGAGCTGAAGGACCACTTCGGTCAATAATACGGCAAAATGTTATTAAGAAAAGTGGTATAGAATATAAAATTATGTCCATATGCATACGTCGGATCATATTTTGCCTTATTAACGAGTGACAAAAAGCGAGTTGATGATTTTGAACTTTCTATCCGTTCGTTCGTCCGATCGTGCGTCGGTCCGTCTGTCTGTGTACATGATAATCCACGAACGGTTTCGAATTTCCTAATTCTGTTTTCAGTAATAGGTAGACAATGATTAAGGGGCTAACTGATTAAATTTTGGTCAATACTCGTCAACCGGAAGTGACCTTGTCGCTCCCTGTCTATATTGGTACAGTTTATTATTTTACTGAAATGTCCCCTTCATAAAAATGATTTTTTCTCAACTGGCATGTTTAGTACTGGATTATTGAAAATCGATAATACTGTTTAATTTTAATTAATTGTTTAATGAAATGATCGATTCACGAAATAACCGATTAATGAAATAATTGATTAATCAAGTAATCGATTAATTGATAGATGACTGATAGATAACCTCCTGCGCGTTACATAGTGACGTGTACAATTTATTTTTTATTTTTGATCGTAATAGTCCAGTATGCAGATAATTTTGACCTGGAAAAGGTGGTGTAAAAGATTTAATGTTTTAAATGGTCCATTTGGGTCCAAATGACATGTATTTGAAGAGAGCGCACCAATTTTTTCCCGACACAACTTTTGGGAGCCAAAAAACCACAAAATGTTTGGACTTTCTGTTATCAGTTTTTCGCTTAAAACTCGAAAATAATCCATATTTTATGAATAACACTTGTATAGTAAATTAAAGAAAACAAAATTCTATCTCGATCAAAAGATGAGCAAACAAAAACGGTCCAAGAGAAACATTTTTACAAGCGACCAAAAAACACCCTTTTTTTCCAACTTTCCTAAGAAACAGAGTTAACCATTTTTTTATGCTCTTAATGTTTTAACTCATTCAGTGCTCTGAAATGGAACGTGAAAAGTGTCTTTGCCATCAAGCATCATAACGTTCCAGTCAGCGTTGTCAAATATTGTCTGGCAGAATGCTTGTGCACTCGAAGTTGGTGTACTCTCAGTGTGAAGGACAGCAGAGGTTTCAAAGAGTGTTCAAAGTAAGAAGCAGAGAAGCACCACTCAAAAGCGGAGAAAGAAACGATCGAGGTCTTGTTGTGGTGATGATGGCCATGCCATGGGCAATGGCTGTACACATCCTTTTCCATGAGTCCCGAACGCCTCCTTTCTCCTTCATTATGATCGTTTGCAACAACACTTTAAGAGACTCGGGAATGACATCATCAACATCGTTAAAGAGTCATTTAGAGGTGGATACTTTTTTGTATCATATACCTGAGATCGGATTTTTTACCACTATCTGTCTGATTATTCAATTCGTCGGAGGTTTCTTTGAGCTAGTTGAAAATGAATTGCATGGCCTCATCCACGTACGAAGTAGGGAAAAAACCTCGTTTCATCTTACTTTTTGGCCTCGACTACAATTTTTTGTGGTATAGTCGGTGGAACGATCCATCAAAGGCGACTAGATCGTTTAATTGACTGATTCGTCCAACAATTGTGTCCTCCCATTCATCCCCATGTTTTTTAGCAGCTTGACGGAACACCTCCTGTGTCTCCAGCTTCCTCAAAATCGTCTGCATTTCCCTCCCCACATGGGAAACTTTGCTGTCTAAAATTTAAAACAAGAGCTTTTGATCTTAGTGTAGGAGTGGTTGCACGTGATGATCCCGCCCGTACAGCAGAACGAATTGTTGCTGCAGCTATCATCCTCGGATTGAGATATTTCTAATAGCAGGATGTGTGAACGCTTACCTCACGTCGGTTCTGCAAACAGTTGGCAATTGACATATTACATACAATGTGACAATTTGAAAACTTACCACCCCCCATATCTTAGTAAATAAACAAGATAGAGAGATAGAGCTTTCCAACAACGTATCACACATGGGGGGTCACTATTTAAGATTTAAAAGTTGGGGTGGCTGGGGCGCAGGGGGTTGGAGGGGGTGCGTCGCCAACTATGTCATTGTGATTCCCCCTCCGAATTACCGAAACGGATTTTGATTTTTTTTAATATCTCGTTTATTTACTAAGATATGGGGGGTGGTAAGTTTTCAAATTGTCACCCTGTATATAATTGTGAATAAAATCGTTTACAGTTCTACACCACCTTTTGCAGGAATCGGCCCTTCTGACTGCTCCGCATACTGGACTATAAGCCCGGAGAGATAGGTCTTCTCTTATGCCCGTTTGCACCGACAAATTTAAGTGGAGCTTAGCTTAAGCGTCCCTTAAAATCCATGGCAACGATTATTGAGACAATGGTTACCATGGATTTTAAGGGGCGCTTAAGATTTAAATTTATCGGTGCAAATGGGCATTATTGTCATAACATTGTTCCGAAATTAATTTGGAAACAACGTTTAGGCGATTACATTTTCATGCCAATACATATTTTACTACATATCTTACTAACGACGAAGAATACAAGTAAAAACGTTTAACACGATTCTCCCAAGCAATTACTTGTAATTACTGATTCTGGTATAAATATACATAATTATTGTGTAAAAAATGAACTGAACACGTATGTACGTGAAAGACACGATTTTTGCTTATTTATTTAAAGATGTACCTATTTTATTTCGTAAGCTTAGTGTATTCTTACATTGACGAGCTTTTAAGGCACCGACTTTCGCTTTATTTCCTGTATTTATATAGAAACGAAAATAAGATTTACTTCCCTTTCTGAGATATTGGAGTTTATTTGACAGCATTTTATCTCACAATATTTTTGATGTAAACCTCCAGGATTAAACGTAAATTTATCCAATTTAACGACATTTTGATTTTCCTGTCTGCCTTCAGTTCAGTTTATCTTTTCCGTAATTTATTTGTTTTTTCCTGGGTATATTTGTTAATTTGACGTAAATACACATATCTTTGTGGGTGGCTGAAGTAAATACGCAGGTAAACTGTAGGCTATGCGTATGATAACCTTCATGTTTTAATGTTATTTACTTTTGAGTCGAATGGATTCAAAATTCACAGGTGCCCTTTTCGCATCTCAACCGGATTGTAAACTTTTTTATTTATAAAAGTATTTAAATGAAATTTGATACATAGGCACTTGGAATAAAGGAAAATCAAATGCCAGTTTCAAAATTTGGTTATGCTCATGCGCAGTGCCAACTTTTTTATTTATGGAAGCTTTTAAATAAAAATTGATACATAGGCGCTTGGAACAAAGGAAAATCTAACTTTAGTTTTAACACTTAGGTTTGCGGGTGCGCAGTTTACGATTACTTTTTTAACTTGTTAATTTTGGTACTCTTTTGTTTCTTGCCATAGTGAAGCATGGACATTTTACCCTCCCTTATTTTTCAGGTATCAAGTAGTATTCATCATTTTAACATACTTGGTGCCCATGGTGTTAATGGTCTGTTGTTACACTGCGATGGGCAAAGTTCTGTGGGGATCTCATTCAATCGGTGAAATGACGCAAAGGCAGTTAGATTCGATAAAGTCTAAACGAAAGGTAAGTGGATTTAAGTTAATTTAATTATTAATTCAATCGTTCAATGAAATTGTGACGGTTTAGCGTATATTCAAGTTCCCAATACTCCGCATTATACAGGGTGTTTCTGAATATGAAGTATAACTACAGAAGGGACTAATTCTTTGTCTTATTTTTATTAAAGTTCTTTATAGACCAAAAGTACAATTAGGAGGTGTATTTATACTTTGGATTAAAAGACTACAATTTTTCAAAAATTCACTGACATGATATTATTTTCTTTGTCAATTCATTCTATCAACAACGCCTATACTTCTTAACCATATTTTAGTTCAACATTTTTGCTTTAACAATTTTATGACTAAATGTTCATATAATCATAGGTCCACAAACGCTTCCTTACTAATCTACAGTTAAGCAGAAGGGCTTACATAATTGATGATATCAATGGTAGTGAAAATTTACAGGGGATTATGTTCCATTTTATACCCCTAAACTTTTTTTGGGTGCACCACTGGTAGATTGTAAAATAAGAATGTGATTTTCCGATTTGTTTGGAAACTTTTTAGTCTCTTGTAATTTTTTTGTATTTGTGACAGTTATCGAAAAAGAAATAAAAATCAATTGTCGGTAGTACCAAATGATACTGAAATTTTTAAAATGGGCCCGGGGGTCCTGGATTTATTTAAATAATTTCTTATTTTTATTAGTTTTGAGAGTTCGCATTTCAAATTGTATCTTGTGTTGGTATATGTTTATAATAATAATAATAATAATAAAATATAATCAATCTCTTCCACTGTCCATTTATTTGTATTGGCAGCAACCTTAAACTGTATCAAGTTGGTGAATCACGGTGATTTTCCATAGAATGTCAATGGCTTAATCCGAATTTTTAATCCAAAAATACATTCGCATGGTTCCGCGACTTCTTTGCAAGACGATTGTGGAACAGCCACTAGATCTTCTGTTATCATCGATGACACATCTCTTTTTTCGCTTTCTTCCGTCAATAACACCCATTTTCTTCTTAGGTCATTGTATTTACTTATTTAGCTTCTGTTTCATTTTCTAGCGTATGAATCGTATCTTGAACATTTTGTATCTCACCCTGAATCATACCTCTTATTCCTTGTTGGCTTGATTCATTTTTAGCTTTAATTTACTGCTGACCAGCTTCCACGGCTACAATTTTAGCTGCCATTGACTGTTGACCGGCTTTCATCTGTTGCATCAAATGCAGAAGTTTTTTTCGACTGGCATAAACTTCCACTAATTGATCGCTTAAACACAACTCCACACCTGCTACCAATGTAACGTAAATTTAATTACGTGATTTATTTATTTACAGTAAATATATAACAGTCTTGAAATGGAATAATTTATATCAGTTGAGTAGTATTTATCACTGACAATTTATATGATAACACGAGCGCATCGATGTTTGGAACTCCCTCAAAACACAATTCCATTTGCTTATGCCTACAGTAAACAACAATCTTTCTAAAATATCTGGAATATTCGCTACAATATATTTTCTATGGATTGTCTGGTTCCGATAGCAACGACAGTACAATGTTCAACGTTGTCCAGGAAGTTAAAGTGCAGGTTTATTTTTTATTTTTTACTTTTGGGGTTAATTCTGTCAATAATGCCGCATCTTTTAGTTCTAAACGTGATAAGGTAACAAGATTCAATGGAGCTCCGTGTGATTTTGGACATACACACTTAATAGATTTTTAGCAATATTTATTTCCATATGAATATTCTGATCTAATGTATACACATGCCTTTTCGCAAGGGATAGTGCCTCTCAATAAATCGCTTTTTAAACCGTCATACCTTTTAGTTAGAAAAATGAACATAGGACTGTTTTTAATCACTATTAGATTACAAAACGTCTGAGAGCGACATTGCAAGAATTCCTGATTGCCTTTAAAAGGCTGCTTTACAACAAACTTTTCAGAAATCTCGTTACGTTGAAAGGTATTCTTAAAATAATTTTCACAATCTCATTCTTCGACGGGAAAAACGTTTAGACGTGATTTACTACAAGAACTTTGTGTATTATGAAAGTAGCTTGCGAATCTTGAGCTAGAAGAACTTTTGAAATTAGTTATGCATATCTTTGACTAACACAATTGCTGTGAGCTGTGAATAATAATACTTAGGTGTGTTACAGATGTCGTTATAGTTGTTAATGATACAAGTTCGATATGAACATCATAATGAAACGCGTATAACGTTATAAACTCGAGGCGTGACGGAGTGATCTTAGTTATACAAGTTTCAATAATAACGTTTATATCGAACGTGTATCATTCAAAATTTAATCTACAACGCTCCAAATAGGTTTTATTCGTTTTCTGAGTTATCTAAACGTTATTGGTAAATTAAAATTCATTTTATCAAGTCCCATACACTAGTGGAGATTTCTAAATCATCCTACTGATCTGTTTTTTTTTCTTTTGGCAGTATCAGCATGTATTACATTGCTACCCTGTGTGTGAATTTTTGGTGTCACTATGTACAGGGTGGTTCAAATTTGTGCTCACCATTGGATTAAATAGGGGCAAAGCTTCCCTTTTTGTGATTAAAAAGAAATCTTTGAAAATAACTGAAAAACTGTAAATGTGAAATTTCGTTTTCATTTTATTATCTTAAACGGTCGGAAATGGATGGTTCCCGTCAGCACCTTCTATGGCACATTTTTCGGGGAATCTTATCTTATAATATCTCCGTAACACGCCCGATATAGAAGCTACAGGCTTCTTATTTCTTATGGACCCCATACTGGATTTTTGCAGGGATTTTTCTTATTGGCTTGATCGATAAAATCTTCTTCTTGACCTTGCAAATTCCCTTGATCGATGAAATCTTCTCCTTGAAATGTTCGTGGACCTGGACTTTCTGCTTGTCTCTTGTCTTCCCCAGAAATAATGCCCGTAACTCTCCAGGCTGTTCCGGTTACGCAATTTATACTGCGAAAGATATGATTTTCAATACCAAACACGAAAACCGTCAGAATATCCGACAAACATTCCTCGTTTGCCTTTTTGGTCTCATTTATTGCTCTTTTCCCTTGAAAAACCCTGTGCCAAAAACATGGAAAATATAAATATCACCTTCCCTCCGTGAAAAGTTCTAAGGTGATTTTTCTACACCACTTGGTCTGCGATTTAAAATCTTGCAAATAATTCGGCATGCTTCTCGCCAAAAGCATTGTTCGACGCAAATCGATAACTGTTCTCTTTACGGCCATCGCACTGCAAGGTTTTCATTGGACGGACGAGTTGAGTTTGTATGATTTGTGACACTTCCGTAATTTTTCCAGAGGTTTCCGATTTTTCCTTGAGGAAATATTCAGCTCCACCCAAGGAAGTGCATTCCATTGGTCCGCACAAATCGACATGTAGAATGGTTCCAGCCGTCGCGTCGTAGCGCACTGACTTCGTGATTCAAAATTGCTCGGGTGATTTTTTTCCATCCACGATGAAGGCGATTTTCTGATTTTTCAAAATTTTCTTGACCTGTTGTTTGTTCTGATGTCCGAATTTTTCATGTGCGTGCGTCCATGTTGAAAACAAACTTGGGAAGCGCCGACAAAACCCCTCCCCTTGCAGCACCTTTTATGGCCAAAACTTTACGACAATACTTCAGCCGGTAAGACACAAAGAAAAGCTTCGGTGTTGTATTATGCACGAACAAACGTAGAAAAATACTTAACCGCGAATTCGGCTTCCAGCTGCACAAACAAAACTTCTTCAATCTTCAAACTCACATTGAAACCAAAACTTTCGATGCTGGCTGTGGCTTCAAATGAATAATTAACTGGCCGTAATTCAACGATGGAATTCGCAAGAAGAGAAAAAATCTTCAACGAAACGTAACTCGGCTAAAAGACGACTTATATTTTCAATGAAACGTTGAACGTGGCAAAAAACGACACTTTTCTTGTTAACGTCCTATTTAAGGCGAAACTCTTCTTTCGATATTAAAAATTACAACAACCAATCATACACAGTCGACAACAAAGACTATCCTATCAATGCACGTTATTAGGCCGACAAAAATAGAGGTCGATTATTTTTCTAAATCAAATTGTTATCAGACATTAAAAGATAAATCCAAACTTAAATTCTAGGAAAAAATTAAATTTCATCCCTCTTAATTATACAGAAAAGGCGATAAATCACATCTACCTGTCTATTAAATTAAGCATCATTTACATTTGATAACAAAGAAAGACCCAAAAAATTTCTGGAACTTTCTACGTTTAAATAAAATGTAAACAAAAACAACCTTGACCGCTTTCTCGTATAGCACAATAAGCTCCATGCCGTTACATAGACTAACGACAATTAATAAAATGAATTAGGAAAATTAATAACACAAAAAGGAGACCACCCTTGTCCATCTTAATTAGGATTTCCGAAAATTTCTTCCTGCCGGACGAAATAAATACAGCAATCCATATTGTTGCAAATATTTTTTTATTTAATCCGTTTTCAAGAGTACCTATGAGGGATAGAGCTTCTTACAATAAAGTGCTCAAATACCTTGTCATTGACTCATAGCGGTATTTCAAATAAGTAAGGAATACATCGAATGATTGTCGTTCTTGAGAGTTCAATGAATAATAATGTTGAACACATTGAATCTTCAATACCCATCTTAATATTTGCATATATATGTTGGAGACACACGACGAATTCGGCCGTTGGTTGTTCTATTTGAACATATCGCCATATGTCCATAATACAAAAACAAGATGCCGAAATTTGGCATGTGATTATTGTAGTGTGTAAATAAGTGCCATCTATCAAGGAAGTTGCAGAAAGAGTAGAAATGTAATGGCTTCCACTTATGTGTGTTTTGTACCTTTGTGTTCATGTCTAATAAAGCAACGTAAAGATAAACGGTTATACTTACGTTACGTTTATTTGTTGACCCACGACACCACAATTATGTCAATTTGAACACATCCGGAATAGATTAAGTTAATTTTATGACCCAATAAATCGATTAATGCAACGTTTTACGTTTTACTTTAACATTTAGACCACTATCAGATCAGATGAAACCAGATCACTATCAAATAAGCACAAATATTTATTTTTTTACTACAGCCCATTTAGAGGCATCGATAAAAAACGGAATACATTGAATTAAATTAAATTATCTGATAGACTTTCGAACAGGACCCTTCATCGTTCCAACAGTTAAATCCAGTGATAGTGAATGTTTCGTAACGTATATTTCAGAATAAGTTCCGTTTTTATCAGAGAGGGCAAGTCACTGGTTTTTATATCAAAAAACCATATTAACTCATTATATACGCGTTAGTAAAGCTGACTGATGCTGCTCCATTGCAATTTTTTTCCAACGCTCTCAGATCTAATTAGTTATTTAGCAAACCCGTATATAATATATCAAAGTATAAAATAATTACCCCATAATTCACACAAAATAAAATTTGCATTCACTTTAGAGCAAAATCCTATGCACGAGTAAAATAGTATACTCAACTCTCTATTAACACTTCCTGTAATTCTGAGTGTCTCCATATTCAAACAATCTAGAGCATATTTTGTAAAATAAAATTATACAATTAAGACAGTACTTTCAACTGAAATTAATTAAACCATTGCAAGTTAGCAATTGCCGCATTAGCTTTCATACGTATTCAGCAAGGCGTACACAGTTCTCCATTAACGTTCCTATGGTGCTCGGGTCTCTATAATAATTGTATTACAAGTTCGTTATTAATTCAAGCTTTTAAATGTTGCACATTTCGAATTGCATGCCGTGTTTATCGACAGAGTTAAAAGCAATTAGTTGTTTGCTAATGCAATCTTAAAAAAACACAACATCTTATAAAAAGGTCCAATTATGTACATAAAGGCATTCGATTTGAAATGTTATGGGTTTGATTGAGCGATAGCTATTGTTATATTTTAACTGTGCGTCTGATCGATCGACAAACTGCATTTACTAGCGCCATAGTGTAAAGAATAGAACACTAAGCTAGCGCCTAAGATACGATAAAAGTTCTTTAATGAACTGATGATGGTTGCCAGCGGGAAAATTTTTCCACTTATCCGTTTCGTGATTGTGTAACAATTAAATATGTGAAAAAGTGGGTTCTAACTTCTAAGGGCACAATTACAGAATTTTTTACTGCTTATTTTCGTCGTCAAATGTAATTTCTGTAAAACTAAAAAGAACTGCGGGCATTTCTGCACCCCTGTCTGCGCTGTATTTTGCATTACCTATTAGCATATTATATATGAACGATTTGGGGATAGACAATCTCAGTTTAATGAAATGTATTAATCTAATCTGCTAATTTAAAATTTTGTGCTCGTCAGGTTAATGAGCAATTCAAATTTTTCTGATGGCACTCTAAGTTGAAGCTGTAGTGTTCTGGAAGTTGTTTTATATTACTTTAAATCGTTTTTCTAAAATAGCAATACGTTTGCTCGGGAAATTTTTCGAATGAAACAAATCCCTTTATGTGATGATTTTCTCCGTCCGTCTGTTACCGTCGAACTCGAGAACGAAAAGACACAGCGATGTCAAACCTTCGCCAATGGATGTCTTAAGTTCAAGGATCAGTGCTATTAAATATGATCCGGATTAGAAATCGTGTTTCTGAATGTGAGCTTGGTGTTAAAAATTCCCCTACTGAAAATGGTATGCCACTCATCGTATCTTGCTGTTACTTGTTATGTTGACTTTGAGCAAACGTAACAAAATTACCACGAAATAAGCACACAGTAAGCTCGGGCAAAGTAGAGGTGGGTCAGGGGTGAATAATGGAGTTCTTGTACACTAGCAAAAATGAAGTGCAGGGAAGGAAAATGTAGTAACAGTAAACCGTATAGTCTCCACTTAGTCTTAGTAATTCTCAAAGGAGGAAACAAGGCAGACTTCGATATCCTTGTTCTGGTCTTGATAAGCAGAGTTGGACTGGGTCACTGCGTCAACTGGGTCACCTGGGTCACTAAATTAAACTGGGTCACTGGGTCGCTGAGTCACGTCATACTCTTTTCAGTTAGACCCAGTGACCCAGTTTGACCCAGTGACTCAACTTGACCCAGTTTGACCCAGTGACCCAGTTTGATCCAGCGACCCAATTTCACCCGGAGACCCAATTCGACCCAGTAACCTAGTTTGATCGAATAACGCAGT